AGCAGCCCAAAGTGCCTGCGGGAGACTGGGAGAGGGGTGGTGAGGGAGGGGGTGCCTTTCCCCCCTCCCCGCCTGCCATGGCCTCCCTGGGACCCCCACTCACCATTGGGACAGAGCAGCTGCTTCCGAGCAAAGTGCACGTCCGAGCGCCACACCTGGGGAAGGGGCTGGGTGAGGGGGAGCCAAGTTGGGGTATCCCTGCCCTGTGGTGCAGGTGCTGGCACACGGGTCACCTTACCAGCACACAGCTGCCCAGGACCTGCACTGGCAGCAGCAGAGCCAGCTCCCGCGGGGCAGAGCCCTCCGGCTGCAAAGCACAAGGGCAAGGTCAGCGCAGGTCGGTTCCCTCATGTCACCCCCAGCCCCGCGCCACTCACCCGTGTGACAGTGTAGAGAGGGGCCTCGGGCTCACAGTGCCCGCCCCGGTGCTGGCACAGGGCTGCGCTGAAGGCCGCAGGGATGCTGGAGGTAAGGTGCAGGTGCAGCTGCAGCCCTCGAACGCTCACTGAGACATTCCAGGCGGTCTCTGCCATCCCCGGAGAGAGAGAGGGAGCTTGCGGCATGCCAGGGGATGAGGGGTGCGAGGGACGGCAGGACAGGGCTGTGCTCAGCCCAGGGGTGCCTGTGCCTGCAGGGCTCACCTGGCCGGTGGGGACACTCCACGTGACTGCTGTTCCTGTAGGAGAACTGGGGGGAGCAGGGATCAGCGGAGGGGCTGGGGGAGTTGCCATAGCCCCCAGCCCCTTCCCATGCGGTGCCCACCCACCCATGGGGGCTTACTCGGAAGCAGAGCTGGGGGTGCACGTCCACCTTGTCCAGTGTGTATGCCTGGAATGGGCAGAGAGCACGTCACCATCCCCGACCCACATAGCCCATGGGCACCCCAGTGCCCATGTGCCGCCCTCAAGTGACCCTGGGGTCCAGCAGGTGCTCCAGCCAAGGGCATGACCCACTCCAGGTGGGTGCCCCATGGCATCCTGAGATCAAGACCCTTCACCTGCTCCTCCTCTGTGGCTGTGGAGTTGGGGATGTCGTGACACGGTGCAGTCTCGGCTGCTGCCTCCCTCCAGCACAGGGTGGCCCTGGGGCGCAGGGGGCAGCTGGTGCTCAGCACCATCGCCATCTGATCCTTGTTACTGGTGCTGTAGTCGTGGAAGCGCACCGAGGACCACAGCTCGGGACCATCTGCAATGCACTGCGTCAGTGTGGGGGGGAACGGGATGGGCAGGGGGATCCCTGGGATCCAACTCCCCTCCCTGTGGGCACTCACAGGCAGCCAGCTGGTCACGGAAGGGGCAGCGCTTGCTGCGTGGGCTGTCATGGTGGGGGTAGGAGGCCTGGGGAGAAGAGCAGAGGGGTCAGGGCAGGATGTGCCCCTACTCTTCCCACCTGCCCTCACTGCGTGGGCAGGGACAGGGGGCCAGTGGCTGCAGGGGAGGGCAACGCACCTCGATGCACAGGCAGGGCACCAGAAACTCGTACGGCAGTGA